TCCAAATAGCAGCGTTATCATCACTCTTCTCATTCTCCTATTCATTCTGCATGCACTTGATGTCCCGTGGCTTACCTTGCAAACCATGAGGTGCATAAATAACGCTTAATTACCGATATTTATTAGGTACAATGAACTGCTTACATTTGTACATTAATCATTCGTCATTTATGCATGTACGTGATTGCTTAAAGCAGAAAGTTTACGTATTTTTTTGGCCCATTTAAGTGCGAGGGAAAAAAGAGGGGAAGCAAATTGGGAGAGTTAGGATCATTCTTTTCTGCGGTAGAATTATATAAGTTGCCTTTAATTGGGAATATATAGACTACGCAATATATTTCCTTTTTAAATCTGCTACAAGCTCTCTCATATACTTTTAATTTGATCCTTTCGTTCTTGTCAGGACCAATTATACAACGAATGACGATTCCAAAAGCATGTTAGAGCTAGAGAAGTGGAGACAAATGCTATTAACCCTAGTAATTTACAATATATACTTACCACGTCACTGTCACCGCTTAAAGGGTAGAGACGTAGAATCTTTCGATTTGTTTCTCGACACACATGTTGATTTGTATATGCAGACAATACGCTTCTGACGTCATCATCCAGACCGAAAAGTAACAATCGGTCCACACAACCGCGCAACACACCCCGTTGTTCGGTGAAAACTGAAAAAAACGATGATTGATTTTGTCAAAATTTGTCGTCTCGTAAATGTTCACTGTTCTTTTAGCGTTGATTGTTTATTAACGTTTTAGGGAAATCTTGAAAACTTTAAAACCATTCCTAAGAGGAAAAAAGACTTTTCTGCATTTTGTAATTGAGACTATTTATTTGATAATATTGGCGAGTTTAAAATATTTGAATACCCAAACTTATGTCTAGAATCAAGTAATTTATGCCACGTAAGCAAGGAATTGACTACAATAAATAAAGGTTTTTATATGATCAGGTCCAAACTCTAGAATTTTCCAAAAATTGGGAAAGTCAAACAATAGGCGGATGATTTCATATCTGTTCATGGGTGGGCGTAGTCTGTCCCCGTCTAAATCGCGTCTCGTTTGGCAAATTTTCCTGCTGCGCTCGTCGGAGGGGATTTTTGCGATCAACACCGTTAAAAGTAATAGCATTTAAGTATAATGATTGAGAAGTGTCAGCTTGTAATCTCTATAGCCCGCATACGTTGGGTGTAATATGATATGACAGAAAAATGTTTTTTCTCCAGTTCAGTTCTTGACCACCTAAGAGTGACCGCAGTGGACGAAATAATGTAGCGTAAGCAGTAATTGATGTCACGTTTCGTTATAAGCTCTAAACTACTCTCTCATTGCCCTTCTCAACCGCTAGTAGCTGTTGGGCAGTTCTAGCCACGTCTTGTTTGGATAGAAGTTCTTGATAATCTCGAGGAATTGGATGAAACATAGCTGGATCATGGCTTCATACTGCTTACTTTGTTTGAAGAAATTGCTTTTTCCTTTTTTTGCAGCTTTTCTGTTAGATGGCTACGTTTGTAATGAAATTAGAGTATAATGAAATTTTACAAAGGCTTCAATCAGGCTTCCAAAGTATGAGCCATTCATAAAAATCGTAATTTGAAGAAAAACAGCGTTTTTCAGACTACTCCAAAGAGATTTTATAGAGGAATGATTATGTTATCTTTCTTGAAGGAGCAATGATTAGAAAAGTTTAATAATTTAGTCTACATTTACCAGCGTGAAAACAAGAAGTCATAGAAGTGTTGTAAAATGTGGTAGAGTTATTTTGCTCAAAAGGATTTTTCCATTTTTCCGCGTGATTTCCTAATTGTAGTTCATGTGTTCTGTGTTATGCTAAGTCGTTTGGTTTTTTGAAGCGTATGGATCAATTATTGATTGTTTGTCGGCCAACTAATACAAACAAAAAGTCTTTTGATGTAAATGGAGATTGACTTAGTGTATCTCAGTTTCTTGCTTCTTCTTTTATGACAATTGCAGAAAATTCCGGGAGTGAGGTGGGAGCTCAACAAAAAATTTGAAAAAGAAGAGTCGCGTGTCCT